TAACAATTTCTTTAGCTGAAACTAATCGGACTCCTTTTGATTTTGCTGAAGGGGAATCTGAATTAGTCTCAGGGTTTAATGTGGAATATAGAAGAGGAGGATTTGCATTAATTTTTTTAGCTGAGTATGCAAGAATTTTATTTATAAGAATATTATTTTGTGTAATTTTTTTAGGGTGCGATGTATTTAATTTATTATTTTATTTAAAATTAATATTAATTTCATTTATTTTTATTTGAGTTCGTGGTACTTTACCTCGATTTCGTTATGATAAATTAATATATTTAGCATGAAAATGTTTTTTATCATTTTCATTAAATTATTTATTATTTTTTATTGGGTTAAAAATTTTATTATTTTCTTTGTTATTATGAACTAAAATTAGTAACTAGTTAAGTTAATAGAAAGTAACATTTCTATCTTATGTTTTCAAAACATATGCTTATTCAAGCTCATTAACTAATTTAATAAATTATCTCATCATTTATTTACTAAAGGGTTTAATAAATAATATAAAAAATAAACAACAGTTAAAATTTGTCCAATTAATACATAAGGTTCTTCTACTGGTCGAGCTCCAATTCAAGTTAATAAGATTACTGTGACTACTATAATTCAAAATAAAATTTGGTTAATAGGGTAAAATTGAATTCCTCGGAATTTTCTTAAATTATAAAATGGTAAAATTATTAAAATTGCAATTGAAAGAATTAAGGCGATTACACCCCCTAATTTATTAGGGATAGATCGAAGAATTGCGTAAGCAAATAAAAAATATCATTCTGGTTGAATATGAGCTGGTGTTACTAAAGGGTTAGCGGGAATAAAATTATCCGGGTCTCCCAATAAATTTGGGTTAATTAAAATTAAAGAAATTAATAAAAAAATTATAATAATAAATCCAACAATATCCTTATAAGTAAAATAAGGGTGAAATGGGATTTTATCTCTATTAGAATTTACTCCAATTGGGTTATTTGAACCAGTTTGGTGTAAGAATAATAAATGAATTATAACTATTGCTAAAACAATAAAAGGTAAAATAAAATGAAAGGTAAAAAATCGAGTTAAAGTTGCGTTATCAACAGCAAACCCTCCTCATACTCATTGTACTAAATCAATTCCTAAGTAAGGTACTGCTGATAATAAATTTGTAATAACTGTTGCTCCTCAAAATGATATTTGTCCTCAAGGTAGAACATATCCTATAAAAGCGGTTCCTATTACTAAAAATAAAATAATTACTCCAGTTATTCATGTTGGTGTGAATAAATAAGATCCGTAATAAATTCCACGTCCTACGTGTAAATAAATACAAATAAAAAAAAAGAAGCACCATTAGCGTGTATTGTTCGTAATAATCATCCATAATTTACATCACGACAAATATGGTTTACTCTATTAAAAGCTAAATTTACATCTGCTGTGTAGTGTATTGCTAAAAATAAACCAGTTAAAATTTGAATAATTAAACATAATCCAAGTAATGATCCAAAATTTCATCATCTTGAAATATTAACAGGAGCAGGTAAATCAACTAATGCATTATTAGCAATTTTAAATAAAGGGTGGGAGGTTCGTAAAGGTTTGTTCATTAATTTATAATTCGTAGAGGTCCTTTGAATATTTTAGTAATTTTAACAATAACAATTAAAGTAATTAATAAATAATTTATTAAAAGAATTGTAATTAAATTTGTTGGGAAATTGTAAAGTTTATTTAAAGATAAAGAATTTTCTATGAGGTAAGAATAATTTGAAGAAATTATTTCTATTTCATTATTTAATAAAAAAAATCTTGTTGAATTTTTATCTATAATTAAAGCTAAAATTAAAAATATTAAAAATAATATAATTGAAATTAGAGTTAATTTAATTGATAAGTTAAATATTTCATTTGAAGCTCCAGTTTCTGGTTCAATAATTTTAGCTGGGATTATATTAAAATTAGGAGGTTATGGTTTATTACGAATTTTATCAATTTTACAGATAATAAATTTGAAGTATAGATTTGTTTTTATTAGAATTAGATTAGTAGGAGGTGTGTTAGTTAGTTTTGTATGTTTGCGTCAAACAGATTTAAAAGCTTTGATTGCTTATTCTTCAGTTGCTCATATAGGAATTGTATTAGCAGGACTTTTAACTATATCTTATTGAGGGTTATGTGGGTCTTATAGATTAATAATTGCTCATGGATTATGTTCTTCTGGTTTATTTTGTTTAGCTAATGTGTCATATGAACGATTAGGAAGACGAAGTTTATTAATTAATAAAGGTTTATTAAATTTTATGCCTGCTATAGCATTATGATGATTTTTGTTAAGATCTGCGAATATAGCAGCTCCTCCAACATTAAATTTATTAGGAGAAATTTCTTTATTAAATAGAATTGTTTCTTGATCATGAGTTTCAATAATTATACTTTCTTTATTATCTTTTTTTAGAGCAGCATATACTTTGTATTTATATTCTTTTAGTCAACACGGAAAGATTTTTTCTGGGGTTTATTCATTTAGAAGAGGTAAAATTCGAGAGTATTTATTAATACTATTACATTGATTACCTTTAAATATATTAATTATAAAAAGAGATATATGTTTATTATGATTATATTTAAATAGTTTAAAAAAAATACTAATTTGTGGTGTTAGTGATATGAGTTATTCATTTTAGATCGTGAAATATTTATCTATTTGTAGAATTAGATTTTTAAATTTAATTTCTATTAGAATAACATGTTTTTTTAGAAGACTTTATTTTATATTAAATAATTTAGTATATTTTATTGAATGAGAAGTAGTTTCTTTAAATTCTATATCAATTGTTATAACTTTTTTATTTGATTGAATAAGTCTATTATTTATATCTTTTGTTTTAGTAATTTCCTCGTTAGTAATTTATTATAGAAAAGAATATATAAGAGGTGATGTTAATATTAATCGATTTATTATATTAGTTTTAATATTTGTTTTATCAATAATATTATTAATTATCAGACCAAATTTAGTAAGAATTTTATTAGGATGGGATGGATTAGGATTAGTTTCATATTGTTTAGTTATTTATTTTCAGAATATTAAATCTTATAACGCAGGAATATTAACAGCGTTATCAAATCGAATTGGAGATGTTGCTTTATTATTAGCTATTGCATGAATATTAAATTATGGAAGATGAAATTATGTATTTTATTTAGAAGTTATGCAAAATGATTTTGAAATAAAATTAATTGGTTCTTTAGTTATATTAGCTGCTATAACTAAAAGTGCACAAATTCCTTTTTCTTCATGATTACCTGCTGCTATAGCAGCTCCAACTCCTGTTTCTGCTCTAGTTCATTCTTCTACTTTGGTGACTGCAGGGGTGTATCTGTTAATTCGATTTAATATTTTATTAAGAAATTCATGAATAGGTCAATTTTTACTTTTATTATCAGGTTTAACAATATTTATAGCTGGATTAGGTGCTAATTTTGAATTTGATTTAAAAAAAATTATTGCATTGTCAACTTTAAGTCAATTAGAAAAAAAAATTAATTGTTCTATTAAAGGAGAAGCTCTATCTTGAAGACCTAAATTAGCTCATGTTGACATTAATTTTCTAATAAAAGTAAAAATCCTTTATATATGGAGCTTAAATCCATTGCACTAATCTGCCATATTAGAAATTAATTAGTTAATAAAGGTAATTCAGAATATCTATGTTCAGCAGGGGGAGTATTTTGGTATCATTCAATTGAAGAATTCAATTGAATAGGGTAAATAACCTGACGTTGAGAAACTAAACTTTCTCAAATAATGTAGAAAAAAAATAAAATTCCTAATAAAGAAATAGATGAACCAATAGTTGAAATTACATTTCATGTTGTGTAAGCGTCTGGGTAATCAGAATAACGACGAGGTATTCCAGCTAGTCCAAGGAAATGTTGGGGGAAAAAAGTAAGATTTACTCCAATAAATATAATAATAAATTGACTTTTTAATCACTTATTATTTATAGTTAAACCAGTAAATAAAGGGTATCAATGAACAAATCCTGCTATAATAGCAAATACAGCTCCTATTGATAAAACATAATGAAAGTGAGCAACAACATAGTATGTGTCATGTAAAATAATATCTACTGATGAATTTGCTAATACAACTCCAGTTAATCCTCCAACTGTAAATAAAAATACAAATCCTAAAGCTCATAAAATAGCTGGAGAGTAAGAAAGTTGTGTACCATGTAAAGTAGCAAGTCAACTAAAAATTTTAATACCCGTTTACGGTAATAAGCAGACGCCGTCTCTGCTGTTTCGGTCCCCGTGTGTTCAGCATAATCCTGTATAGCGCTCGACAGGACTCTGCTGCTTTCTTGTGCACGTACTCCAAGTGCTCTCTGAACGACATCCTTGTGTCTAGCATGACACCCAGGTACTTTAGCGCCCTTGCTGATTCTATTGTCGCACTGCCGACTCTTATGTGCGCTGTTTCCACTCTTTTTCGACTGCTGACTAACACAGCTTCTGTTTTATAAGCAGCCAGCTTGAATCCAGCTGCTGCTAGCCAATGGTGCACACGGGCAATGCTGTGGTTACACGATTCCTCTATGACTTTCAATTGCTTGCCGACGACTACAAGGGCCACGTCGTCCGTGTGTGTGCGTGTGTTTTTTTTTTTTATTTATAGTGAATAGAAACAGGCTTAATATTTTAGATTGTATACAAGAGAGTTGTAAGAGGAGAATAGGACAATCAGATAAAGACAGGATAGTTTATGGAGAGTAAACTACCCTGCGGGACAACCGCAAGGTACTACTTCGCAGGGCGGGGTACAGCTGTATATCAGCCGCTCATCAGTCGATGCCGCGACGGATCCTCTCCCGTCGTCGCAGCTCCTTTATTATAGCCCTGCCATGTTTGCAACGGCTATCCACCCATTTTCAATGGCCATCATTCGAGCGAGATTCTCCTGGGACAAATCCCGCAGTGCTCGCAAAAGGGGTCGTCCTCATGTTTAAACCTGTGCAGGTACGCCCTAAAGCAGCCATGCACAGTCAATATTTGGGCAAGGTAGTAATCTACATCGCCGTGTCGCCGCTGTAGCCAAAGCTTCAGGTTTGGGATCAGTCTGTGAGTCCATCTACCATTTGAGCTCCCATCCCATTTGTTTTGCCATTGTTCGATGGTGTTGTCCCTCAGTTGCTTGTTGGTGGTTGCCCCGCTTTGCCCTTCGGCCACCATCAGGCCGAGTGGGATCATGCCTACCAGTACTAAGGCCACGTCTTCCGATACTGTCCGGAAGCAGGTGGCTACACGCAATGCACATCGACGATATGCGGCCTTGCATCCTCGGCTGTAAGATGCAACCTCCATTGCGGGGGCCCATATGTTGGATCCGTAGAGGATTGTGGACGTCACCACACCAGCGATTAGCCTTCTGCTCCTCTGCCTTGGGCCTTTGGTGTTCGCCATCATTCGGCTAATGGCTGTTGTAACCCTGGCCGCGGGCTTGGACTTAATGGTAGCACTGCCAACACGCAACGAGGCCGTCTCAACTATCTTTCTGCTACTTATTAAAACTGCCTCCGCATTCTGCTCCGTTAGCGCGAGTCCGTTCTGGGATAGCCAGTCAATTATCCTGTCAATACCCGCACTGCTCCTAAGAGTGACCTCATCGAGTTTCTTCGTCATAGCCACAACAGCAATGTCATCGGCGAACCCAATGATTGTGTTGCCCTCTGGGAGGCAAAGGCGCACTACTCCGTCGTACATGACGTTTTACAGTAGCGGCCCGAGAACAGAGCCCTGGGGTCCGTCTTCAGTGTCATAAATTAGCACACTTTCCTGGAAGTAGCTGGTCACTAACTGTATTAACTGGCTCGGGATGTGTCTAGCCGTTAGAGCTTCTAAGATTTTCGTCCAATTGGCTGAGTTGAACGCGTTCCTGACATCCAAAGTACAGACTAGGCAGTACTGTTTGGTGCCACCTGCCCATCTTGTTCCTTGGATTGCGCCTTCTGCTAGTTCAGTCACGGCCCTGATGGCATCCGTGGTGCTCCTGTGTTTCCTGAAGCCAAATTGACGTTCAGACAGCCCAGTGCACTTCAGCAAGCTTGCATTCTAGGCGATTGCAAATTATCCGCTCAAAAATATATTCCCCATCGTGTCCAGCATACACAGAGGAGCGGTATGAGGAGAGATCATCCAGTTCCTTGCCGGGCTTCGGGATGAGCACAAGTCGCTGGAGCTTCCATATACGTGGTACTGTGCATTCCGCTATACATTGATTGTACAGCTCCACGAAACTTCTGGGGTGTGCAGCGATGACAGCTTTGATTACCCCGTTCGATATGCCGTCTGGTCCAGGGGATTTGTCGGTCTTTAGCTTCGCAGCAATGCTCAGTACCATTTGCTGGGAGTTGCGGTGCAATTCCAGATGACTGCCGGGGAAAGATCGTTTGAACTATTTGCTTCAGCTGGTCCGGGTTTGGTGGCATTGGTTGCCTGCATAGCCTTCCCATGACTAGCTTGTAAGCCAGTCCAAAAGGCTCCGCGTCCGCAGCGGAAAGCTCTTAGAAGTATCGGGTTTTGTAGCGTCTGATAGCTTCTTTGAGTATTTTCCGCTTGGCTCTGAAGCTCTGCAGATGGTGCTCAAAATTGGTCGACGATCTTGACCAGGCTACCGGTCTATGTGAGTTTCCACCCTTACGTGTGCGTGTGTGTGGGTGTTTGTATCTGTATTTGTGTGTGTGTGTTTTTTTTTTTTTTGCTTTGTAAGATACTGATGGCCCGGGCCAACCATATACACGATTCGCTGACTTTGTCAACGCCTACGTACTAAACTCACCCGCCACTCACACACCACATTCCCCGCGGGATCACCATAAATATTACTTCGCGGGGATGGTCTGCCTATCTTAGGCTATCGCTGTTCTTCGCCTCTCTTTTTCGCATCGTCTCAGATCCCTCTGGATGCATTTAATGAGCTGGCTTAGATCTCTCCAATTATTTTCTCCGTCCACCATGAACGTCTGGTTCCCTCTATAGCGTTAGCTGCAATATCGACCACCGCCTTAATTGCGTCGACCGTAGACCTTCCTTTCCGAAATCCGTACTGGTGTTTAGACAGCGCCTCTTTCTCCTCAACGACACACAATAGTCGGTCATATATGATCCTCTACAGGATCTTTCCTGCCTTGTCCAGTAGGCAGATTGGCCTATATCCTGATGTTTTTGTTTTGTTGGTTTTGTTGCCACGGGCCTGGGGGCTTCCTGTCGCCTATTTTGTTGCTTACCACCAAAACTTCTTCTGCCAACACCTGGTGGCGAGTGCAGTCGGGCAGGTGACGCGAACGACCTTGTAAGCCGTACCCCATGGGTTAACATCGGCCTCCTCACATATTTGTTGGAAGCAGGCGGATTTGCTCTGTTTTATGCATAGCTTGAGGGATCGTTTGGCTGCTCGCAGATCTTCCAACCTACCGGCAAAGTCCGGGAGGCCCCGGGCTCGTTGGGAGGTCCTTCTCGCGCATAGGCAAGCCTTCCTTAAGTCGCTGATCTCCGCGTTCCACCAGTAGCAGGCTGGTCCCCTTCTGCTTGGCTTCCTTCTAGGCATGGATAAGTCGCACG